TAATAGGATAGACACTTATTTTATTAACTCACTTGAGGCATATGAACTCCCTCTATCTCATAATATTTGATCAGCTCATTGGACCAGATACCATCTCTAATTGAATATTAGTTAAAGCCAAATACCCTCATTTTTATATGTAGTCAGCCACTCTTTTATTTTTAGTGTGCTTGTGGCATTTTGTGGGGGTGTGGCCGAACAGAGAGAGGGAGAGATAGGGAGGAGCTCAATGGCTCCTCTTGCCCTTCTTCTTCCTTTTACAGGCCCTCCACTCACTTTCGGCCAGCCATCGACGGTTTTCCGGCGATCATGAACGGCTTGTCTCCGTTGCCCATCGGGAGAGGTAACATTCTTTGTCCACTGATGTATACCTAAATCCCAAATAAGTTTATATGTCATTTTTGAATTTTTGGCTAGATTATTGTTTCTGATCTTGTTTAAATTGTGTTTAGATCATTTAAATCTAACAGTTTAATGCTATAGAATCTGATAAAAACTTAGAAACTAAAAAGTATTCACATCTTTTGAGAATTTTTATGGTAAGCAATATCCACTTTGAATGGACACTTATTTAATGTTATAGAATCTAACATAAATTTAGCAACTAAATAGTATTTAGTATCTTCGAAAAAAATCATCATGTTTGATTTAAGCAAAGTGATAGAGACTCTATTCTGGATTCAGAATTACAAAAGTACTTAATTAGAATGGAGTTAAAGAAGAGTTGCTCTTTGGAATTAAGAGGCAGACTTAACTAGAATGGAGTTATAGAAGAGCTGCTCTTTGAAATTAAGAGGCAGTGGCTTACCATGTAGTAATTGTGAAGGGGTTTTTTTTTTATTAATAAAACTTTTTTGGAACTTTTATGGGTAAGCAATGTAAATTTTTCATGAATAATAAATAGTATCTAAATAATATAGAAGGTGGAAAAATTTGAATAATACAAATAAATTACTAAAAAAAAAATTAGAGGAGCATTTATAACTTAAAATTTCAATAATAAAAGTTGATGTAACTGGAATTTACACTAAACTGCAGCCACTAAATAATATTTATGCGATTATATTTAAAGGAATTATATCTTTATAGGAGCTTTTTATGAAGGTTGCAAATTTGGTTAAAATTGTATCATAATAAAAAGTACAAAATAGCATAATCTAAGATAAATTTAGGAAATGTTTCTTGGCTGACACACTAGTTCGATAAATTAATATTTTTTTATTTTTTATTGTAACATTATTTGTATGTTCGTATAACACTTATTTTTCTAAGTGTAACACTCAATGAAATTAAATCTATCACTATTTATCAATAAGTTATATTGTTAGATTATTTTTATAAATGCCTTCTAAATTATATACCATATTTTAAAGTGCCCTTCTAATTTTTGAAAACAGTTTAAAATATCTCTTTATTTATAAAAACTGTATCAAAATACATCTCTCGTCGATAACTTTAATTATTTTATTGTGACACTCTTTTTAACATATTTAAAGTTAATTAAATCTGAAATATGGAATTGATCACTAAAACTTAAATTTAAACCATGATAATTAGGTTTTTTTATTGTTTTAGGTTAATTTAAGAAATTTTGTTTTGTTTTTCTTTTTCTTTTTCTTTCCTCAAAAGAACTCTGATGAGAGGGGTTTCTTCCTTGTATCAGACAAGGGGTGGGAGGGAAAAACCATAGGTAACGACTGACGATGAAGGTTAGCTCGGCGAAAGGGGGAGAGGGCTCGCGACGGATGAGATGCGACGGTGAGGCCAAGCTAGTGACTAGATTATGGCAGTGATGGATGAGAGCTTGTGACGGTGGAGGCAGGCTCGCGGAGGGAGATGAAAGATCTAGCACGGTGGCGTGATGGTGACGAATGGATCTGGGCAGTGGCAGCTCACGAAGTGGGCAGGCTTGACGGATCTGGGTTGTGCGGCGGCGGATGGCTCGCGCGGCGGAAGGTTTAGACTTGTAAAGGGTTCTAGGGGTAGAGGCATGGTCGATGGGTTGCTTCACGACGATGGCTGGGTTGTGCTCGCAAAGACGATAATGAGGGCTGAGTATGACAAAAATTGACTAAATTTGGGGCTGCCATTCTGTCTGCACTTTGAGAAGTGAAGTGGAAAAGGACTTTGTTCTTCTTTTTTCGTTTGGGTTCTTTGGAGAAGTATGATGTGAAATTAATTATAAGGAGAACACAACTGAATTCCTTAAAAGAGAAGGAAATCGACTTTTCAAAGTAGATTGAGTCGATTTGGCATGAAATATTTAGTATGAGTCTTGCTTATTCTTAAGATTGTGTTTCAGAAATCATAGGGATCATGAATTTCTGACCAAGTGTTGAGGTTTGGGTGTGAATGTGTTTTTTACTTTTGAATTTTTTTTTTAACTTTTGAAATTGGCTAATGTGTTTTAGTTTTTTAATTCATTTAAGTCAAGTTTTTTATTTCTTTTTTTTAATATTCAATCACATTAACATGTTTTATTAGAGTTGAATATATTTGTTAATCTTTAATGGTTATGCCACGTAAGTAAAAACTGTTAAACTTACATATAGAAATAGACAAAATGAGCATTTTGATATGTTTTCTATATATCATGAGCTATTTTGAATTGTTTTTAAAAATTAGAGGGTATTTTAAATATAGTAGTATTTATAAAAATAATCTTACATTGTTCATATAAAAAAAGGATAAATTGTATATATAGTGCTTAAATTCTTTGGCAAGTGACAATTTAATTTTTAATTTAATTTTTTTTTTTTTTGCAAAACGACCGTAAAACTCTTTAAAATGTGATAATTTAGTATTTTTTATCAAATTTCGTTAAATTTTTAACTGAACATGTACTTTTTTTTTAATAAAATTACTTAAATGCCCCGTTAGAAAAGCCATATTCTTCTTTTTTTTTTCCCCAAATTTCATCTCAAAAAATAAAATAATAACAAAAAAAAACCCAACTCTTCACCTAGAGATCTCTTGTTGTTTTATCAGGTGGCCATGGCCATTTGAGATCGAAAAAAAAGCTAGAGATTTGAGATCTCGTCCGCAAGATCCAGGAAACCGTGAATGCATTCTTCATCGGTGGCTATATTTGGCAGCGGCGGAGTATCACGGCCTAGCTCTTCGTCGGCGGTGGCATCTCAAGGCTGAGTTTTTCGTTGGCGGCGGCGTCTCTCGGCTGAGTTCTTCGCCAGCGAAGTCTTGCGGTTGTAGAATTTGAGGCTTGAAAAATTGTTCTAGGAAGTTTCTAACACCGCGGCTATAGACTAACAACTTATTCTCCTATTTGTTTTTTTTTTTTTTAAATGAGTATATCTATAGAGCAAAAGCATAGCAGTAGATTTTTCAAAAAATTAAAGAAAAAATAAAATAGTAGTAGAACAAGAAAATAGCATAAGGGACCGGCCTTTTCATTCTCTCACTTCCCTCTCTCGATCTAAGAAGCGGGTGGGGGATTCGAGAAAGAAAGAGAGAGAGCTCTGGTCTCAAAGCGAGAGCGAAGTCACAAGTTATGGGACTGAACACGATGGCGATGGATGCTAGATCTGGAATCGATAAGGCCGTGACGGTTGCTCGACGCCGGCGAGGAGTTTCTGATGACAACACGAAGTCTCCCTACACCTTCAACGCCGGTGCTAACCAACACACGAGCCAACTTCTCCCTCATGACATCGCGATGAACTTCTTCTCACCTTGCGATCGATGGATCTCACCTACAAACCACCTGTGAACGTCGAGATCCATGTGGGTCTCTATTTCCAGGTTCATCTCCACCACTTTTCTTGAAAAGCTTAAAGGATTGGTTGATCATGAGGACCCATTGGTTGATCCTGAGAAAGAGAGAAGAGGGTGAAATTTGAGGAAAAAAGAAAAATAACAAGAAAAGGAAGCTTTTTCTAACGAGGGTATTTAAGTTATTTTATTAAAATAAGGAGATATGTGATGAGTCACGTAACATGTTCTGTTAAAAATTTAATAGAATTTAACGGAAAGAATTAAACTGTCACTTTATAAAAAGTTTGAGGGTCATTTTATAAAAAAAAAATTTATAGAATAAATTGTCACTTATTAAAAAATTTAAGAATTTAAGAACCATCTTGTAATTTATCTTAAATAAATTATACTTACTAAATCATAGTTCGTTAACCATGTCTATAAAATTAGTGACTTTATTTAATAAATTAGTAGTGAGGTAAATATTTTACGGTTAAATTTAATCAAAATAGCATTAAAAAATATGTAGAACAGTCGAAAAAAAAAGTGAGAGTGGAATGGATTGAAGCTGTTGGGACCTTGTTCACTTCGCGGATTCGAGTTTTTAATTCGAGTTGAGATGTGACATTTTGTAAAAAATTTTTACTATAACAAAAAAAATTAGATGTGATATTTTTTAAGATCTTTTTACTGTAAAGATCTAAAATTAAAAATTTAAATCAATAAAATGAACGAGTCATAAAAGACGTAAAGGAGAAGGGATTAGCAAATAACCATTCAAAATAGTTGCTTATCTATGAAATTTTCTTTTTTGGAAATTTTCTTTTTTGTGCTTTTCTACGGCAACGGTCATTTCCGAGCGTATGGGGACGCGGCGATAAGGCCTAAAAGGGTATCAAAAAGGAAGGTGAAACGGATAAACATGCGTCTAGTACGAGACTAGCGTCGAGTTTGAGCTTGGCATGAAGCTCAAGTAAGCCGAGCTGAGTCTGACTAGAAATTTAGAGAGAGAGAGAGACGACACTAATATCTATCGCTTGCTTCCCATTTTTCATCTTCTTTGCTTGTTTGATAGTGCTTCGATTTGACTCCTTTTAAAAAAAAAGAAGAAGATCCGTATGTGTCGTTTATGCGTATTTGTGTAGCTAAAACAGCGTGTGGGCGTCATGCGGTTTGGGTCATGATCTGCCCCATTCTCGCCCAACCCAAATCCTCTTTCTAAATTTATTCTTCTTCTGATTTTCCATAATTTAAGCCTTTTCCTTTCTGTTTCTTTTTTGGGTTTTCTTTGTTTGGTTTTGTTTTGGTCTTTATATTTTAGTTTCTCTCTCTCTTTGCCATGGGGTATATCGTTCAGGTTTTCTGATCACGACGACATGAGGAATCTGAAATCTGTTGCCCTTTTAAGATCTGACCTGTTTTGACAAGGATATATATATATATATATATATACACATATATAAATATATGTATAGATGATACTTGTTTTTTGCTTCAGGATCTTCTAGCTCATTCATGTTGGTCCTCACTTATTGAGGTTAGTCTCTCTCTCTCTCTCGCTCGTTTTTGTTTATTTGAATTTTTGTTTGACAATTTTTGTATTGGAGGGTGAAGCTTTGTTTTGGGAAAGATTGGCTTTGCTTGGTTTGTTTGAAGGAATCTTTTACTTGAATCAGAGTGAAAGCTTGATTCTTTGGCTCAATTAAAAATGGAAAATCAAAGGGGTTGAACTGTGGAAGTTTAATGACTAGCCTAAATTATGTGTGAACTGAATTTTGAGAGGTTTAGGTTTTGGGTACTAAAGTTTTTGAAAGATTAGGAATAGATATGGTGGGGAAAAGAGGAAAAGAGGGGGGGAGGAAAGTGGGGAATTTAACTATTTAAAAAGGGGAAGAAAAAGTGAAGAGAATATAGCCTTAACCTCACAGGAAAGATTAAAACCCAGAAGAAGAATTAGCAAGTAAGGATTGATTCTAAAGTCTCAGAACCCTTGGTATTATAAAACTTGTATTTTTAACAGACACACCCAAAAACCATGTTGCCTCTTCATTTTTGTATAATAATACCTCATTGCTTTGGCTATGTCATTTGAAGTTTTAGTAATTTCGATTATGTTGCGGTGATCTGTGTAGCAAAAATGGCAACTTTGGTTGAGCCTCCTAATGGAACTAGGCAAAGAGGAAAGCATTACTACTCAATGTGGCAAACTTTGTTTGAGATTGACACCAAGTATGTTCCCATCAAGCCCATAGGGAGAGGAGCGTACGGCGTGGTGTGCTCATCCATTAATAGGGAGACCAATGAGAAAGTCGCGATCAAGAAGATCAATAACGTGTTTGAGAACCGCATCGACGCCTTGAGGACTCTGAGGGAGCTTAAGCTTCTTAGGCATATCCGGCACGAGAATGTGATTGCTCTAAAAGATGTTATGATGCCTATTCACAGAGAAACTTTCAAGGATGTTTATCTCGTTTACGAGCTCATGGATACCGATCTCCATCAAATTATTAAGTCTTCACAGCCCCTTTCCAATGACCATTGCAAATATTTCTTATTTCAGGTATTAGATTAATGTTATTTCAAAGGCTCTACTCTCTTGTAATTGTGCTTTCGTTGTTGCTGATTCACATTTTTCATGTTGCAGTTGCTTCGTGGACTCAAATATCTTCATTCAGCGAACATTCTTCACCGTGATTTGAAGCCCGGAAACCTCCTTGTCAATGCTAATTGTGACCTGAAGATATGCGATTTTGGTCTGGCGAGAACGAGCAGAGGAAATGGCCAATTCATGACTGAATATGTCGTCACTCGCTGGTACCGCGCACCAGAGCTACTCCTCTGCTGTGACAACTATGGAACATCCATTGACGTCTGGTCTGTAGGATGCATATTCGCTGAAATCCTTGGTCGAAAACCAATCTTCCCAGGAACCGAATGCCTCAACCAACTAAAGCTGATAATCAACGTTCTCGGCAGCCAAAGTGAAGCTGATCTCGAGTTCATTGACAATCCAAAGGCGAGGAAGTTCATAAAATCCTTGCCTTACTCTAGGGGAATGCATTTTACGGGCCTTTATCCCCACGCCGATCCGTTGGCTATAGATTTGTTGCAAAGGATGCTTGTGTTTGATCCAACTAAGAGAACCACTGTCACTGAAGCACTCCAACACCCTTACATGGCGGGGCTTTATGATCCGAGATGCAATCCTCTGGCCCAGGTTCCAATCAGTCTCGACATAGATGAGAATTTGGGTGAACATATGATAAGGGAGATGATGTGGAGCGAAATGCTGCATTACCATCCTGAAGCTGATTCTGCAAATACATGAGTAATATCAATATCCTCCCCAATAAGGTTTTTTCTTGAGTTGTTGTAGCTTTTTGAATTAGCAGGTATTGTTTTTTCCTCTTTAAGTACTTGCTCTGCTATGTTTTGAGCAATCTGCAGTTGAACACCATGATTCTAGTTTCTATTCCTAAAGATTTTGTTTCTTAAACATCTGTTTTAGTAGCATAACATCGCATCTTGTTTCGGAAGTAGATGTAGTGGTGTTCAATAAATTCTCCAATAGTATCCCATATTTTATGCACCATTTAATTTAAATCATATAGTCAATGGAGTACTATGTATGATGAGGCTCCAAAAACTTTGTAACGTATGGCGGGAATTGTTTTTGTTGTTCGAATACTTTTTCTGGTTTTGACCGGATTTAAAGGTCCGAAATAGACCTAAAAGGAGGCTCATTTAGGACTCGTTTACTTCACTGATTTGAGTTTTTAATTCGACTTGAAATGTGACTTTATGTGAGAGCTTTTTATTGTAGTAAAAAAGTTACACGTGACTGTTTTTGAGAGTTTTTTATGGTAGTAAAACTCGAATTCTAAACTTAAATCGGTGAAATAAATAGGGTCTTAAGTATTTGAGAAAAAAATTATATGCATCCATCCACCACTAGTCCCTATTTCAGTTCGTTATTGTTTCAATGTCTTTCCCTGTAGAAATTTTTTTCTAATTTTATTTATGTTATTTTATTCTTACAAGAGAAATGCCAAAGATACCAAGTGTTGACGGTAGAATTTCATCAATAAGATTACGTCAGATTACCACTCAGTGGTCAGTCAGATTACCGGCTAAAACTAGTTATATTATCGGGAAAGTGTAACCGATTGTGCTTGTATTCAATGTATTTTGAAGACGTATGGATTTGCCGTTAAAACGAAAAGAACAAACGAGGGTATAGTGGTTCACTCTATAATGAAAGAGCTACATCCACTTGTTATTGTATTTTCCTTTCTTTCTTCCTTCAAAGGTTACAGAATCTGCCCAAAAAAGCCTTATCTTTCTCTGGGGTCTTGTCCCATTTATATCTCACAGATTACATATGAGTACATTTGGGGCAGATTATGACAGGGGGTCCTCTGATGGTTTTTCTCGAATGGCCTATTATCTTGCATGCCTAGACCGTAGCCTCTCTGCACATTTTAGAATGTTAACTCACCCACTTCGTCCACTATTACGGCTATACGGATCTTCCATGATTTTCATTGGTCCATTCTAGGTGCTTTATGGGTAGGTAATCATTCTTTGTGCTACTGACATTCTCTAAACCAAGAAGTAATCTAGGGATTTTCCCCCTGTCACCTCAGAGGTTATTCTTGGGATGTGGATCCGAGCTTAAGCGTCCTGCCCTCTGCGTCTAAATTATATTTCACAAGCCAGGGCCTACGCCCCGGTCGATCCCCTCATAGTACCTCTAGTCATGCATGCCTCGACTGTTGTAGGGTCGGCGGTTGCATGAATTCTCATACGATCGGCCTTTTCACCGAATGGCAGAGGGGAAAATGAGCTTTAGACGTCGACTACTATCTAATGTGGTGGGTTAGGGCCACGTGGAGCATGGTCGTCATCCGACGTGTCAAAGCATATTTTTCCACGCAAGAGTTGCCCCCAAGGTTGAGGCTTTTCTTTGGACTGCCTCGAGCTTTAACTAGGCTGGGATTTACTTTGGCCTCTCCGTTTGCTTCGGGCGTGGGAGCCTAACTCCAAGCCTCCCCTGTAATGATGGTTCTGGCGCTTTGGAGCCCTTCTAGAAGTGCAAACGTCGTCTCAATTTGGTCACTATGTTGACGTGGGCTTCTGTTTAAACGGGTAAATCTGTGCCGTTGGATCGTGTCCTTCCAGTTTCTCGCTCTCCCTCTAACTGTTGGATTGAGTCCATACATCTTTGTCGTTGGATGTATAGTTACTTCATCGGACGGCTAGGAGTCGAGAGATTTTCGTTACTATAAAAATCTCCCTGTGCTCGTTCAAATCATCTTGAAATTAGGTCGACACTCTGCCAAAAATTCCCC